CCCCTCTGTTGTGCACCCCTCCTTTCGTTCGGTTTCCTGATGTCGTTTGTCCGCTCAAGCCCCGATGAAGTCCTTCCTCATGACTGCGGGCCGGTCGACGCGTTGGGTTTTCCGAAGCGATGCGCAAGCCTTTGTGCCGAGGCGCTCGTGACGACGGAGACATCGCCACCACCGCCTCTGTCGTCGTCGCCGGAGAGAGAGAAAGACCAGCTGACTGGCGAGGGAGGCGAAGGACAAACGCCTAAGGCCGGAAGGTCAAATAGGCGCCCCCTCCGCGCGCTGGATGTCGGATGTGCCGTGGGAGGGATCACGTTCGAGCTGACACGGGCATTTGACGAGGTAGGGGACGGGCGGTGAGCGGGTTAGAGTAGAGTAGGTTCGACAAGGCTAGTGGCAAAGCGTCTGCAACGGATTTCGTTGCCGTGACTGGACTGCCATTGTGCTGAAAAAAACATGGAATATGGAATGGATGTCACATGTGTTGCATGATACTCTGTATTTTCAACCGGAGCGTCGTTGTGCTGCTGCCGCTGCCGCTGCTGGTTCTGTTTCTTTGTGTGCCCATGCGCATTAACTAATGCTTGTCCAGGAGCCCAAGCGGGAATATTTCTTTTCCCCCCAACTTCCGTTCGTGGAGGTGGTGTGCGTGACTCTCCACGTGCCCGCCTCGTGAGCTGCTCCTTTCCTTCGGGAGGCACGACTGGACACGATGAAAAACCTATCCATTACCACCATCTTCGCCTTGTTGATTCAGGCATTCATTCGTGCGATCACTTGTTGTTCCCAACAAAACCCGTTGTACGATCACCCCGTGGGATTATAGTTTGACGCCCCCTCTGTCCCTGCCCTAATTATTTACCGACGTCCCAGGTCGTGGGCGTGGATTTTTCGGCTAGTTTCGTAGAGGCCGCCGAACGGATGAGAGTGGAGGGAAGGTAAACAGTAACCATAGTATACGGAGCATTCTGTTTCGCCCAAATGGTAGATGTTTCGAGCATTTACTCGCTATATACTCGTAGACTCCGGTGCTCTAAGGGTATCCTGGAAACCGCTAGTCGCAAACGTTGTGAGTTTGAATCTTCACGAGGTGAAAAATCTGCAAAACTTGCGGGTGAAAGCGAAAAATAGCTGAAACGCTCTCGTGAGTACCAAACTTCGACGTTAGCACCGTTGACGAGGGAAAGGGACGGTTGGACCCTTCTCGCGGTAAAAATAGAAATCAGCACGCACCCCAGGAGAAAGGTGGGGCACGAAAATTAAAAAAGAAGAAAAAAGCCCTGGTGTTTAGCCCCTCGTATGTGCCCTGGACAGTTGTAGTTGTACGAACAACACACACTGAAAAGTTTAGTACTCTACATACACTGAAGAGTGTAGTACACGTCTCACCATGAAAAATGGAGGGACTGTCGCCATAATAAACAGGACGATAAAAACAACAACTCTCCTGTTATTGGCAGTATTGTGCGGGCAACTGGCATTATCGCCAAGTTCTCCCCCCCGCCCCCTGCCCACGCCGTGCGCATCAACAACCAACGAATGATCCCCCTTCATCCCCCTTCAGAACACAGTACGAGTACTTGGACCAAGGGTCGGCGGTCTTTCGGAGGGAGGCATTTCTGCCGGAGGGAACGGTTCCTTCGCGAGCCAGCTTTTCCCAGGGAGATGCTTGTTCGCTGGACGTGAAAGCACTGGGGTCTTTCGACGCCGTGCTCGCTAGTAACCTGCTCTGCCGGTACGTCATCCATGGATTTATTTCCATGTAAATTCCTGGCCGCTTTTCGTTGCTGGAGGTTGTGTTTTTTTTCGGGGGCAGAAGTGCCATGGGTTGAATAGGTATCCCGGCTACCCAAACGTTTCACGTTCGGCAGACATGGCTATACTTGGCAAGGGGGGCATACAGTAGACTTCGTGCGTTGTTCTCATTACAGGAAGCACAGATACGCGTCCCTTTGATTTGTACGTCATTCCTCCCGATGCTGCCGTACCTAATCCTCATGTTGGGTGCACTGATACAATGCCTCAGGTTGCCGAAGCCTCGATCATTTCTGGGAGACCTTCCGGCCCTGGTCAAGCCAGGGGGGGTGGCAGTTTTGATATCACCTTACTCGTGGCTCAAGGAGTACACGCCCACGTCGGTAAGATGAGACAAACGCCGGTGATACTCGCGGCCGACCGTTTTTTGCCCCCAATGAACGCGTTGTTTGTCCCAAACCCGCAGAACGTAGATGTGGGGTAGATGGAACTTTACTGTTGTGAGCAAATCACCCGGGGCGGGGTGGTGGTGGGGGCGCACTCATTCGCAGTGTCCGTCCGTTTGGCTTGTCTCCACCTACCTGCCGGAGCCGAATCGACTAGATAGAACTTGAGTCGGCGTGGCCCCTTCTCGCTGTGCACAGGGGGGCAGGCTTGGTGGTTCCCAAGCAATTGTCATGCAGCCAAGAGTGGTGATTTGTTCACAGGTTCACAGGCCAAAAAAGTGTTTATCACGATGTTTGTCGAGGGCCACGTATGTATCTAGCGCAATGACGATTCTGGCATGACTGTGTCCAGGAGTGGTTGGGGGGATTTCGAGAAGGAGGGGACGCGGGCAAGCAGGAAGGGGAGTACGTCGACAGCTTCGACCGGGTGAGCTATCGAGTCTAACAAAATCAATTGATACACGAGTTCACTGTGTGGGTGCTAATGGTGGTCTTGTCGGAGCAGGCCTGCCAAGGTCGGTACCTTTTTGTTCATAGGTCCTGGTGTGTCTATCTTACCCTTGTCTTGCAGTCAAAGGCTCCACGACGTCAACGCAGCAGCCTATCACGGTCTTGCATCGAACACTCAAGCTGCTCGATTCAGATCCGTGACAACACCAAGCAAACCACCATAGGTTTCTGAAGCGACTCTCCCGTCTCTCCTCCCCCCTCCTCCTCTTTCCCTACCCTCCCAGATTCGGTCGATAATGGAAGCCGACGATGCCTTCGGGCTTGAACGGCGCTGTTCGATGCCCTTCCTTATCCGCGAACACGCGCGAAAATTTCAATGGGGTTGTTCGGATGGGACGGTATGGCGTCGGAAGTTGTAGATGGAACGTTCGGTGGTAACGTGTTGGGCGCTTGGCGTGATGCCGCGGTGCGAAATACCAACTACGACACTGTATTCTCAGGAACAAGCCGCTGTGCGGGGAGTTCGATCCACGCGAGAAGCGCCCTTTCCTTTTCGGAAAGTCCCACACGACCGGTAGAGGGAAAAGCACCGGTAGAGGGAAAAGCTGTCTCTAACTTCATCGTCGGGCGAAGTAGCTGGGACAGGCGTTCTTCACCTCATGCTTCATCGTTCACCTTGTTTCAAGCATCTCAACGAGAGCTGGGTAACGAGATTTTGCACTCTGTTGCTTTCGTGGATGAGTCGGCACCGGGATATCTTGGCACAGACAGAATCGGTATGCGCAAGCACGCCCCGTACACAGGCACGATGTAAGGTGTATTCCCTCGGCTTAAAATAAAACAATGTTTCCATTTAGGCGGCTACCACCGTGTCCGTTCCCCTGCTTTCCCGCTGCAGCTGTGCCCGTACCCCGTGAAAAAAGATAAATCCGAATCGCCTTGCATTATATCTTACTGCACACATATGATTAAAAACAATACCGCCACGCGTTGTGACTTCTTAAATACGGTAAAAGAACTGACTGATTATACGGACAAAATGCTGACGAAGGCAAGTCTGCTGCAATGAATTCACACATATATCACAATTTAATTCGATCCACACAGACTTTCGTAATATTCTGAGGAATCCCTTTCGGTAGCCTGCGAACAAAAGACGTCATTAGCAGGTGAGTGATCAAGCCTCGATGAAGTCTTCCAAATCAACGAAAGCGTCGTCCCGGTTACCCCCTTCCTCACCCCCCTCCTCCAACCAACCATCGATCACCACGTTGCGGCTCCTAACCCGTGTGCCCCTAGATCTCCTCCTCTTTCCCGATGCTCCGGTGAACCGGTCTTTAGCACTGTTGCTCCGGCCCCCTGCCTCCTCCTCGTCTCCCTCGTCGTGTTCCGCCCCCGGCCCTAACCCCTGCTGTCGTTCTCCGCGCGCCTGGCCGCTTTTGCCACCATGCTTCGGACGTGCAGCCCTCCTCTTTTCCTTCGCAGCAGAATCGCGCCGCCACGCCGCAACGGTGTCGGCACCGGCCAGCAGTAGCCGCAGGGCGCTCTCCAGGGTCTCGTCGCAACTGATGGTCGTGCTTCCTCCCGGCTCAAGCTTCTTCGCATTCGCCGTGTCGCCGCCGCCATCGTCCTTGTCACAACCACCACGTGCGCGTTTTCTTGTTGGGCCCCCGACGCCGCCACTTCGGGTCTCAGCTTTAACCGCACTATTCTTCGCACCATCTTGAAAGTGCTCTAGGAATTGGCGAGTCTTGTGCGCCGCCGTTCCCATCTCTAGCTCACAGCGTTCCATCTTGAAGAGCATTGTTGAGGCCTGCATCGGCATGGACCAAGGGATACGCCAAGCTAGCGTTAAGCTGTTGTGCTGTGCACGAGAGCAGGACGGGAAGCAATTCGTCGCTGCGAGTGCGTCGTAACGGCTCCAAAGCACCTTCGTTTTTCACTCACTGGGAGGAGCGTGCGTTTGGATTTCATTCAACGCGGAGGGCATATGATTTTACGTCAACCCAGCTAACCATATCCCGTCCCGTCCCCCTCTCCCCCCCCCGCGAGGCAGAGGGAGTGAAACTCACGTTGTTCGGGAATATGCAATACAAACAAGAGAGAGCGGCAGACCGCTTTGAACTGACATGTGGTTAGGTGGGCATGTTGCACGATCGCCAAAAAATAGATCTCCACATGCGACCATGATGGCCACGCGTCAGAAGGGAGAGAGCATGACACAGGCCATATAATATGTTAAACTTGGCGGAAACCCCAACGCATTCGAATGTTACTGTGCTTCTCGTAGGATAGAAACCTGCCTTTGTCCGAATAACTTGATGCGTGATCAATAGCTGAGGCGCCCCTCCCCCCCCCTTGCCACGATCGTTCATAAAGAAACCTCACCCTCTTCCGGCAAGGGTCATTGCCCCCCCTTCGACTCTTCAATCGTAGGGCCTCAGCCCATGTCCTCGCCGCCGACATCAACCGCAAGCAATCCCCCGACGCGAGCACCACCGCCGGCAAGACGGACGCGAGCACAGCATCAAGCGCCCCCTCCGGTGCCTTCGTCGTCCCGTTTTCCTGCCCGAACCTGGACAATTCTGAGTGAGCGGCGGGCGCAGCGTCCGACCCAGCTCTCCCGTTCCTCTGTGACGCCCCCTTGCCCTGACTACCTGAGCTAGAGGACACCGATCTAGACTGCGGAGGACGCCTACCCGACCCGGAATCCCCGTCCTTGGCCGCCCTCGAACCACCGCTGCGCTCGGTAAAGTTGGTTCCGCCACATTTGGCGGGCGTTCTGCAGGGCGCACCCCCCGCTTGATCGCCTGGTTTCCCGTTTTCTACTGTTGCCGGGTGTTGCTGGCGGCGTCGCTTGGGCAGCGGCGAGGAAGGGGGCGGTAGAAGCGGTGGCGGTGCTGGTGGTGCCGCACGTACGGCCACAACGGCTGCAGTAGCCATGGAAGAAGGTTTCGCCAGAGTCGCCGAAGCGGACGCAAGTGCGCCCTTGCCCACCAGGAACATTCGCTCGAGCACACGCATCAGCAAGAGCTTGACGGTATCCGGGAACACACCGAGAGCGGCGAGGGGCGGGACATAGCCGGCGACATCGCCGCTTGTCTCACGGTCGCTCTTCTTGCCCTCGCGAGTTCCCTCGGCAGGAGCTGGCACCGACGCTGAGGGCGAGCCAGGAGGACCGTTGCTGTCGGCTCCCTTCCCTCTCTGTTTTGCTGCCTGCCGCTTTGTCGTACACGCGGCCATCCTCACCCTCGTCGAAGTTGATCCCGGCGTGAAGAACTCTCGCAGGCAGAAGGCAACCGTCGCCAAAACGTCGGCCAAATTGCCGGTCCTGCTAGCCCCGCCGCCGCCACCAACATCTACCCCACCGACCGAGGACAGCGCAGTCTCGCATTCCACCAACGCCGTGCGCATTGCGGCGAAGCACTCCCGAGAGGAGGCGAACTTAACCTTTTCCGGGCACAAACTGTACCGGCTTTGCCGCCCATCGCGGGCGCGCAAGTAGCTAGGCCCTTCCCCCTTGCCAGAAGCATGCTCCGCGTCCGGCAGGTCCTTATCCCGGCCCCCGTCACCGTCTCCGACGCCTTCTTCCTCGCTTGATTCGCTCCCGTCCTCCTCGGACAGGAGTATCGCTGTTCGACCGCGCTTGTTTCCGTGGCGTGCGCGGATCCAGCGCACGCAGTGAACCAACAAGCGAGTGCTCCGCTCCAACGGAGGCGGAGACACTGCAGCCGCTCGGAACTCTTCCACCCTGTTCGCCCCGTTGCAGCCTGCCCCGCCACCGCCTTGGCCGCCATCGGGATTGTTCGCCACACGTGAGATCTCCCGATCCCGCGCCCGCAGCTGTGCTAGCAAAGCCGCGGCGGTTCTCCTGGGCGCCTGGGGGTGATGACTGATGCCGATGCCGTCCAATCGGACGGCGCCGCGGATCAACCTGTTGAAGAGCTTGGACTGGCTGACGGTGTGGCATGTGACGATGGAAAGTAAGACGCCTCCCGCATCTTCCTTGATCCCGTCACCGGTGTTCATGTCGTCATCGGCCTGGCCCCAACATGCACCAGCAGGGCCCTGCTCCGAACTCCTGTCAGCGGCGCTTGTCTCGGAAGGACCGGCGGCGGCGTTCGGTTTGGGTGTTCGAGCGCAAGACCGGTGCTCCAATGCAGCATTACCCAGTAGCTCTATAAGATCCAGGTAGGCGTGTGAGAGCTTCACGGACAGCCCGGTTTCCAAGCCTTCTCGCATCTCCGCTGCTGCGAGTCGGCACAAGCCCCCGAGCCCATCCCATTTGTCCCCTCCCTCACCACCCTCGCGCACTCCTTCAGCCCCTACCAGCCCTCTTCGTCCTCCCACTCCCATATTATTGGCCCGGCCCAACTTCCCTCCAAACTCTTCCTCCGTTGCCGCCTCATCGCTACCGCTTCGACCGCCAGCCAGTGTCGTGCTCTTTCGAAGGGTAGCCCTCACGACCCTCCCGTTAGAACTCGCCGCACCTCGTGCAGGACCAGAGCCTGACTCCGGTGGCTCCTCTCTCCTGGAAAACGCGCGTGGCCGGTCGGGCGCACATTTAGTAGCAGCACTTGAAGCCGCTAAAGTGCCGGGGGGTGGTGATCGCCATCCTTCCACGTTCTCTGCGAGCTGGCGAGGGCATGCCGAGGCAAGCGCAGCTCGCATCGTCCAGCCCCGTTGGGCTAGGCTGGCGTTCGGGCCTACAAGTAGGATGGACAACACCAAATGCTCGGATCGTAGCAACTCGGCCTGCAGGGCGAAGAAGAGGTCTTCCGCCTCCGCCTTTACGCCTCCGGCGACAGCATGCTCACCGCAGCCGCCGTCACCGCAGCCGCGACGGTGGCTCCTACCCTCGAGCCTTCGGGAAGTTCGGCGGGGGGGTGCGGCGCTCGGGAGGCCCCAGGGCAAAGCCGTTTTCCACCTCATACTCATCTTCGTCAGGAAACCCGTTATCATTTTGCCCGGCGGGGGGCGGCGTGATGCTTGATGCATGATGGGCGAGTCGGTTTCATGCGTGCCTCTTGCGGTGCCGTGTCCTACCGATGGAGTTGTCGCGCCGGCCGAACGCTCGTCGGAGGAAACGGTCGTCTTGGAGGCCTCAGCCGACGGGTCTACAACACTGAGAGCTGCCGACGGCTTGCCCACCACTGCTCGAAGCTGGAACACGGTTAGAGCTATTGCCTCAGCAGATGGGTCATTGTTCTGTTGCGCCGAACCTCCAACTGAGACTCCCCCGGCCCCATCTCGACTGCAATTCCCCCTAGTCGATTTCAACGCCCGCGATAACGTCTGCACCGAGTGAACAAGCCCGAGCCACACGCCAATGCCACCATCCCATCCTTCCGCCACGAGCGCCGCCGGGCTCTTGCCCTTCTCTTTCTCGGCCCAGCCCAAAAACTCCCTGACGAGGACAAGGGCGGACGTCGCAGACAGCAGAGAGTTCTGTCCCATTGCGTCTTCCCCTCCTCCCCCTCCCCTCCGCCTGCTGGTAGCACCACCTCTTTCCCCCATCGCGCCGCCGCCGTCGCTATCGTCACCTACTTCCACCCCCACCGCCGTCGCGTTCGGCTCGGAGCCTCGCGATAAACCTAGGGTCTCAGCCGGGAGGGAGGTAATTATCTCCGAAAGGCCCTCAGGGGCCCGTGCCTGCGGCTGCTTCGATAGTCCCCCCAACGGCGCTGCGATGCCGTCTGCCACACGCGTGGCCGCTGCAAGCAGAGTAAAAACATCTGCGATAGCCCACAGGACCAGAGGTGCTTCGGGCTTCCCTGATGTCGGACCGACGTCACTGCCGTCGCCAACGTGGTGGCCGTCGTCAGGTTCGACTCTGGACACTTCGCAGCGGGAAGCTGTTCGCGAGAAATGAATCGCCCGTGGACACGAGATTCCTAGATGGTTGGCACATGCGCAGGGGGAAGGGCGATGGCGGGCGGCAGCAGCGACACTTAAAAAAACACAACAACATTTTAGAAGCGCATGGTAGGTGCATGGTTTCAGCTCGAGGAGCACATCACTACTAGCACCACGACAAATAAGGAGCGAGGTTCGGCTGCATGTACGTGTTCCACAATTTGTCAACAGCGAGGTAAACGACCACGCCTACCGATCAGTCCTTAGGCACGTGTGTTCGTTGGCGCAAAAGCGCAACCCTTACTGTGTACACAGTCTGTATTCGGTTGTCCCCTTGCGGTAACAAAGCAGAGACGCGGCGACACTCACCAGTGAGTAGGCAGTCCGCCAGTGCTTCCGCAAGAGTCACCACAACGCCTAGAGTTGTCAGGGGGGTCACCACACCCGGGTGGCACGCGGGAGGAGCGGGAGCTGGTGGCTGTATGACGTCGTCGTCGGCTTCTTGTTGGTCGGGCGTTTGTTGGTTGGACGTGGTCACCATTCGGAGCGTCTAGGCGCGAGAAGGACGCCGGGCATGGGGATGTGACTCACAGGTCAGAGGGAGCCTTATATGGTAGACAAGAACAAAACGTAAACATTTTTCTTTAGTGCGTAGGTCGCACAGCGACACCAACCGAGCCAGGCATGTCTGTCTAAGAACCTCCCCTACAACCTCACGGCAAAGAGCGCCACCAAACACGCGCACTACGATTCCCCGAACCGTTCAGGCTCACCCCTCGAACTCGCTCACCTCCATAGTCCCCCCTCCCTGCAAGAATTCCACCACAGCCACCAACGCCTCCCCCTCTCGAGTGTCGACGCTGACCCGCCCAACGGAAGGCCTGCCTCCTCGCTCTCGCCACCCTCCTTCGCTCCTTCTTCCATTCCCTGACCCCAACACAGCTCTTGCTATTGCCTCCGCCTCTGCCCTCTTCTCCGGGACAGACACGATCGTCCCGTGAGCGCCGTCGTCCGGCACGTCTGTCCCCGTCGGCCCGCCAGCTGGAACTAGCGCCCAGCAGCACTTGAGTAATTGGCCGATAGCGTCTCGCGGGACCACCCCTCGCCCGCGACCGTTTCGCACGATACTAGGCCCCTTGCCTCTGTTACTCTTGCCCCCGAAGCTGTGGCCTCCGCCGGATGCTCCGCGTTCTTCCAGCAGTCGCAGGGGGACCAGCTGAAAGCGCCCGCCCCGCCGCCGGCGCGCTTTGTGCTTGCCTTTTCCCCGGCTAAGAATGTCAGTGTCGTAGCCGCCCGAAGGAGCACGCCCGCCTGAGTTGTCGCCCCCACCGTCGGCGTTCGAGTCGGCACTCAGCACTTCGTCCTTGTGGGCGAAGAATCGAAAAAGACGCATCGACAGAAACGCCCGGAGACCGTTCAGGGCAGTCCGGTCGATGGCTGGTGGCAGGTCCAGACGAATTGTCGCACGCGCGTGAGACTGTTGCGGCATCTGACAATGCCTCCCTGAAAGTAGCTGCCCCCTGTTGTATTGTGTCCCTTGCGTGATCGCGCCCGAACCTGACGTTGCGAGCTTTGTGGCGAGAAGATGGAGGGCGTCCGCCCGAGCGACCTGTGGACCGATTATGGGGAAGTCGGTATGTGTGCAGAGCTTGTTCAGAGCAAAGCAAGTTGTGACATTGTGTTTTTGTCACCGCTGGTAGGTTCGTCTATCCAAACGCGCAGTCCGTTCAATTTCCGCACATCAGAGCACCACATACTTCTCGACAGTTCTTGCTGCTCCTACATGATCTCAAAATGCTAGCACGGGTTTGTGCGACGAACGTGACCCAAATAACTGTCACTGCAGTGGGCTGACTCAACACTCCTCTGTATGTTCACCTCTGGTCTCATCTGCACCTTACGAGAGCAACCTCAACCCTCTTCTCACAGTTTGCAAGCCGCCCTCGAAGGCCCTGCGAAACATCCCCACCAGATCTTCTTGCATGCCTTCCTGGTCCAGACATCCGCCATTCCGGTCGGTGTGCCCCCGGCGGGCATTCCAGGCAAGAATGCAGGTCACGGCGTGAAGCGTTAGCAGACGTCCCTGAGAGGCGGGGGGGGGGCGCGGGAGGGTAGGAGGCGGTTACAATATGCACACCATAGACGGCCCGCGACTCTTCTTGCTCTGACGCTTTGGCCCGATAACAATCGTAGACGTGAGCGGCTCAGTTCAGCGGTGCCTGAGTATGCAACCTTGCCACAGGAATCGATGCACATATCTATCCGACAAGTCCTTCGCCGAACTTAGAAGTACATACTGATATGTCCTACGTGTCCTATGTGGTCGGCTCAAGGGTATCCCGTATGACACTCGTGTGCCACTTTCCCTGTCGGGCTGGGAGTCGACGATCACCTTGCTTTCCCTCTGCACGGAGCACTTCCGGCATAGGCTCATCAGTGCCGAGGCTTGAGTGGGGCACACGTCCGCGAGCGGGAGCATCGACTCCAAAACCCTTCGCGCCCTCCCTCGCGGCAGCAGGGTCAGTTGCCCAAGCGCGTCCGACACGCATTGAGAGTGCGGCACCAGCCTTCGACACTGGATGTAACGACACCCAACAATGACGCATGGAGAAGGAACAGGGTAGCCCGCAGAAAAAGAGGAGTCGAGGGCAGCAGGGGCGGTAGGGTGCTGGTCAGGAATTGAGTACGCTTGGCTTTAACGTCGCTCATCATCACTCAGCTGTCGAGAGTCACATCGTCGCATGGAAGGTATCCTAAACACATGCAACAGTGCGCGGTATAGTTACTTGTGTGATTCGTAACCGGGAATATCTGGACGCGAATAGTCCGCCCGTCATGCAAAGACAAGAAGTCGATTCCGAAGCAGCAAATTGATGCTGATCAACCGCTCGGTCAACCAACTGCTCACGTCCCGCCCCGTCTCCTGCGCCATCAACGCTTCCCATGCCCTCATGTAGTTCCACGCGCTCGCCGCCCCACCCTGGCTCTGGTCGTAAATCCCGCTCAACAGAGCCCTGAGAAGCCTTGGTCTGGCCTCCGCTACGGCGTCGAACACTGCCGAGATTGTCTCAGAGGCAATATCTTGGATGTTGAGCTCCGCCCCAACGCCTTCTGTATGGAAGGCGACGCTGCCATCGCCCCCGCAACCTCCATTTCCTTCCTCTAACCATCGCAGAGCCAGCTCCAGCAACTGTGACGCGCGTTCGGACACTACTCCGCTGCTCTCGCCCCCGTTTCTGAACGCGCCGCCGGAAGAACCACTGCCGGCCCCTCGCCCACGGTGCTCGCCGCCACCACTGCTGCTGCTGCCACCTCCCTTACAGCCGGGCTCTGAGCACAACACCGCGCGCAGAAGAGCCCGGGTAGTTTCAAGGGCGCCCTCGCGCCCTCGATACTCGTTCATTCGATTGTTCCCACTGCTTGTGCTGATCCCAGCAGCACGTCCATCAAATCCGCTTCGGGCAGCGTGAAGAAGAAGGCTGCGGACCCCCTCTTCGGCGCGGCGGCCCCTATCGACGCCGACCGGCAACAGAGGCAGGGAACACGCGCGAAGCGGACTCGCCTCCCTAAGCAGAAGAATCAAAAGCGCAAGGTCGTGGCTGATCGATGTCTGTGTGCCTCTTGCGAGCCCTGTGACAGTTGGCGCAGACGACGACCCGTTCCCACTGCGCAGCCTTTCCGCTTGGGAAGACCCCAATCCAGCACCGGTCATGACTCCGCCGTCAGCCTCGCCGGTGTTCCGAGTACTACTGCTCGTATCCTGGATCGCATCGAGCAGGCTCTCCGCCACCCCAGGCATCTGGTGCAGCGTTTGCTCTAGCACTAACTCGACAGTTGAGACCCACTCTGGCGGTACCGCCGCGTACAGCTGTCGCAAGCACGATATCCAGCCCCCGCTCCTGCTGGAAACCCTTGTCTGCTCGCCTCTCCGTGCCTTCCGTACCCCGTCTACGCCATCTCTTATCTCTGCCAGCTCGCTGTGTCTATTTTTTGGCAACAACCTTTCCTGAGGCTGGTGGGAGGTCGCTGCCCCAGGTGCGACATCGCACCCCGATGCTTCCTCACGAAGGGGGGGAGAGGAGTGTCGAGCGTCGTGCTCGTAGTTCCGGCGATCATCGGTATCACAGAGAACGCACACCTGACAACATCGCCCATAGGGGGGAGGGAAGGAGGTGAGGGGGCGATTCAAACCCCGTCGAAAAGGAGCGATCCGGGGCAAAACTGGGAGAGAAAGACGCGTGCACAACGAGCAACACACGCAAGTCGATCTTCCTGATCTTGAAGGCTTCCGATACAAAACCTCGACCATCAAACGCCCACAAGCACGAAGCACGTCGTTTATCGTCTTTCTGTGACTACTAACTCTAAAATATCCCTCTGGCAAGACAGAGAGTTTTGTATTCGTGGGATAAACAACAATATGGCAGAAGAACAATGCGGTCGGAACTTGCCTGCCGAATGACGCCAGTGAAATCAGCCCCGTCCAAGCCTCCCATCCACACTAACTCCATCAGTCTGGAGCGCACCCTCGTCCATACGCTCTCCTTTCCTGGTACTGCCCCACCCCCGCTTTCTTGCGCTTGGTGCCTAGCCTCACAGCCTCGGCGCTCAAGCAATTCCACGAGGCCGAATATTTCCTCGAACATGACCAAGAGTGGCAATGCCAGCCTCAAGGGCCACGGTCGGTCTAGGAGAGCGTCAGTGACATCCCACAAGATTGCCTCTCCTCGTTGCGGTAGCGCTCCCTGGCTCCAGCCACCGCCACTGGCGCCGCGACCGTTACTGATCACTTTACCACTACGAGGACGTCCTCGAACCCCCGTCGAGAGCCGGTCGTCAACATGGTCCCCAACGCTACTGCGACGACGTTCGTCTTCATTGGTCCCGACCGATTTCCCTTTTCCTTTTCGCGTTTTCCGGGCAGCAGCAGCGGCAGCACCACCACGCTTCCCACCACCTCTTTCAACTGTGGACTGATCCTCGCCGTCGTCTCCATGGTCACTATCAGATTCGCTACTATCGTTGTCTTCGTCGTTGTCGTCGTCGTCGTCATCCTCCTCCTCCTCCTCCTCCTCCTCCTCCTCCTCCTCCTCTGCCGCGGCGACTGCGCAACAAGCTCCTAGGACTGCCGGGAAGGCCTGAAGCATCAGAACGCGCCGGTTATTGGCGTCCTCCGCACCTCTTCGGCCGCCGGCGTACACTCCAGGTGCCGGGCGTCCGCTTGCGGTAGCCGAGTGGATGTCCATCGAAAAGGAGAGACAAACGCCAGCTAACTCTCGTAGTTGTGCCAGGGGCATGCGTCGGTGAACGGGGTTGGTGCCCCCTCGATCACCGTTCGCTACTCCGGTCATGTTGGCGCAGGCGGACAAACACATGCGCACTTCGGAGATGCACAGAGAAGCAGCTCGTCCTTGAAGATCTCCTCTCCCTATTGCCTGCCGGGGGAGGGGAGGGCAGGTGGATAAATGTGGCAGTGCAGTGAGGCGATGACTAGGGCAGCGAGCAGTGAATCATCGACCATGTCTTGCGTACACAGCTTGCGTGTGGCATCACCGCGTGGCCTTTGTACAGTTTCAAACATTTGCACTCTCAGAACGGACACAACAACACGATGGCAAGTCTTTAGGGTGCCCCCTCCCAAGATACACTTGGCAGATGCTGTAACGCAAATATCACAACTTCGTAGCATACACACCTGCATCACAGCATGCAGAGCACCAACACGTGTTGTATTCCCCTCCACCAACACCTTGAGGAACTCGCTCGGGGGCACACGGTACGCCATACTGCCACCGCTGGCAACATTAAGGGGGTCAGGGCACCGGGAGGATGACGGTGGCGCCACCGGAAGCTTTCCAGAGAGCATGTCCTCAAAGCACTCGAGCATTGACAGCGTCTGTGCCATGTATCATCGCGAGGCCGAGCCAAGAGGGGGTGGGGACATTGAGGGCGGCGGGAAGATCGATACGACCTCGTGCGAAAATATGGTACCAGTCGCACGGGTCGTTGCTTTTGTTTAGGGGTTGGCGTATTGGCCCAAACTCCACTTCCCGTGTTCCAGGCATGCTCAGGTAGCAGATGGACAACTACACATATTGTATTGTAGACAACGCCAAGAGGATAGTGATAGCAGTATGAATAATTACCACGCACTTCGGGAAAGGGAGGTTGCGTGTAAGTCATGAGCAAAATAAAATAGAGCCAGCCTCGAGCGTGTGACCGTCCTGTCTGCGTCCCTCGTCGATGCTGTTGCTCAAAAGAAAGGAAGCAGGCTGGCTGAACCCGTTCTGGGAGGGAGAAATAAGAGCGAAAATTCGCGACTCTAGGCAGATGTACGGCTTGCCCTTGCCCAATTCACTCTCGAAAGCTCTCTCTCTACTTTGTTCGTGCTCCACACTTTGCTTTGGACTCAACAAGCGCGGGATAGAGGACCAGATCTTCAAGGATCTACAGCAAGCTACAGCAGCTCCGTCACTTGCTCGTCATTTTGAAAATCCGCCACACTCTTTACCTCGCTTTCTCGGATTTGGGACATATACAAGCGTGCTCCTCCAGGATCTTCACCATGCATCCCGTCGATAAGTCGATCGACCTTCAGCATTGTTGCATCCATGACGTCCATGGCGTGTGGTGCACGTGTGTCGCCGTGGTGTGGCGCGCCTGTGGAAATGGCGGGAAATGGCAGGCAGCTTTTTACTTTTGACATCGAACCAAGCAGGACGTCTCCGTGCTCACCAGTGCTGCTCGCTCTATTCTGGCCTCTGCAAATATCCCCCTTCAGTATAGAAGCAATCAATGTAGGTGCCTACACGCACATCATAGCAGTATCGCAGACATCACAGCACGCCGGCCGGTTGAGCCATGCCGACTTCGCGGTGTCCGTGTGCCAGGAAATCGAGGGTAGGTGCATCAGACGAAGAATTCCCGCCTTACTTGCGGAGCCCCCGCGGCGAGGTCACGACGAGGTCCGAGCAAGGCCGGGCTGTGTTGTTCTTCAAGCCCAGGCAGACACAAGTACCGCTGTACGTTGTCTTTTCGATGGCTGCACGACTGACAGCGCTTGTTACAGGAGGAGCCTCGGGTCTCGGACGTGCAACAGCTCTCAATCTCGCGGCTCGTGGCATGGGTGTCGTGGTGGCGGACATCACCAACGAAACAGATTTTGAACATAGCAACATCAGATACGCCCAAACAGATGTAAGTTCTCTTCAGCTTTCCTCTCAATCCAACATGTTCGATGTTCAATTGAACCCTTTTCGTTTGTGTCGTGGGGTACGTGTTGATCTGCTGTGTGGTGTGACAGATTGGATAGGAAAGCGTTACACTCTGGTTCTCTGGTGCTCTGGGATCATGCAACGAAACAAGCATGAAACTCGTCAGGTTGGTAACAGTCCCGCTCACCCGCCTTCAACGCGACCACGTTGAAACATTTGCTACTGGTCAGGCACTAAACGTAGTAGGCGAATCGGCCGCGAAAAAACCCTGGTATTTCATGCCAAGACGTTGTGTTAGCACCTTCAATGGCCACAACTCGACATTAGGCATGCTGCCCTCACACGCAGTCACTGCTGTGTCTGTTGAGGCCTCACGTACCAGATAGTGTAGGCAGACTCACAGGTCGTAAGGAGTATGTGCTCCCCACGTTGCCATATATCCATGAGCTGTAGAGGGATTACATTCACGGCCAGGAGCTACCGGTAGCTTGGCAACGCGCGCGGAGACCGGACTGCACATACAGCCGTCATCAGTCCTTCTGTGAAGAAATCCTCGTCGAGATTGCCCTCGCTGGTTGCCGGCGGTGTTACCTCAGCAGAAAACTCTGGTGTTCTTTTCTTCCCGTCCTGACCTCTGCCTCCATATCCCTACTCTTCGAAGGCAAAGCGACCGGTCTCGCGGCATAGAACTAAAGAAAGGAGAGACCCAGAAGCGAGAAATAGAAGGGGATGAAGAACCAGTGATTTTGAAGCTGGCTCTATTTTCATACTTAAATCTAACAGAAAGAAAGAAAACAACCTTCCCCCCGGAAGTATCTGTTGTATTCTACTGTAATCAGCAGCGGACACCATGAAGAGGTGTCGTGCGTGCTGGCGCGTTCAGGTTTGCTATCGAAGGTCGCAGCAGCCTCTGAAAACAGTCCGAAATCTACGCCGGAACCAACCGGAATCCAACACTTGTCACAGCCGTGTTCACCGCCACGGACCGTAATCCGCTGAATGGAGGTTGGTCGGCAGTAGCTATTAATAATGGCATCAGCTACTTCTGTGAACCCGCAGTTCAGGAGATTGCGGTCCGTGGCGGCGAGCACAAGCTGTACAAAACCACCGGGTTCGGTCTAATTTGCGGAGATTTGCGGAGATTGTAGGCCATTACCACAGCAGTGTGACTCTCGATGTCACCACCACAGGAGCAAATTTTAGCGTGCCAATTCACACACCCCGCTGCAATAGAGTCGTCTAGTGATATTAGTACAGCAGTGCATCTGATACTTCGCAACACCGACCTTTTTTGAGCGCCTGCCGTTCTGGCTCTTTTGACTTGAATTTAGATTGGTGTGAGTTTATCTTCATCTCAATGGAGGCGTTTGGAGGTAACCCGTGAAATGCATGTTTTGAGACAGCCCCTTTCTGCCGCCCTGTGCGAGAATCAACTGCTGTGTCGGTTTTTCGCGATGCCTTCCGACTGGTCTTGTGTGTGTTTTGCATTTTCTTGTGTTTGTGTCAAAGTTGGTCAACATCAAATTCTTTGTCTGCCATCCCTCAACGAACAAGTCCACGGGAAATACTCCACAGGGACGGAGGGCCCATTGCCCCACGCGGAAGCTGAGCCACGAACACAAGTACGATCAAACATGTTTCGCCATCACAGCCAAATCACACTAACAAGCATTGTCGACATCCGCAGAACGTTTGAAGAAAGTTCTCTTTAGTCGGTCAATCTACCACAATGTCTACCCGCTCGAAAATGATTTGGCCACGTGCTGCTATCTAAGGGCATGTACGTTCCTTCACCTTGGGTCAAAACAATGTCGACTGGAGATTGTGAGTACACACACTGCCGCTGTGCTGGTTCCTGGTGGGGTGCGATTGATCAGGTCACCAGCGAGACAGATGTGACTCGAGCGCTGGACCTTGCGAGAGCCGAGTTCGGATCGACCCCCTTCGTCGCGGTCAACTGCGCCGGCATCGGCTACGCCAAACGCACCATCTCAAGGTGTGTTGTGCGACTTGGTTGTTCCATGTGGTATGCATGGCGCATCACTAAGAAGCAAGTAGCATGACTCGCTGTACTCTAGAAGTACTACGGGGGCACGAAAACTGTTCCTCACACGGGATCATGAAGTTTCCTGGTTGAATCGATTTCGCATGCTTCGGCAGGTTTCATGCCGCCTCAACCTGCACGCGACACGCACTGTCCCCGCAAAACGCAAGTGGCTGATCCACTGCCGGTGCCCTGTCTTGTACAACTCCCAGGTTGCTTGTGTGAGGACAAAAAAACAGTGATGGTCACCTTCCTGCATTTGAAGGTCGTGAACGAATGATATTAATTGAGCATTGAATAACACGAAATCGTTCGTCTCTTCCGATGTGTTAATGACACCGAATAAACAGCCAAGGCGAACCGCACGACTTGGCCGGCTTCTTGCGAGTGATGAACGTTAACGCAGTCGGGTCCTTCAACGTGCTGCGACTCGCGGCGATGCGGTGGGTTTGTGGGTGCTGATCATTGCCATGTTCTGCGGCAAACTGCGTTGTGCAGGCATCCTTGCCTTTTCCAAGGATCCCTTACTTCTGGCATTCAAAGGGATCGATATACCATGCGCCTCGAGAGCCCAGAGGGTGTGTGCCCTTCACGGTGCTGGGTGCGTCCCGTGGGTTTTTTGTTCTGGCCATGTCCTTACAACGTTTCAGCTGTCTGAAATATTTAGTAGATCTACGGCACCTCTCGTGTTTGGATCGTGCAGGATGATGGAGACTGCCGCCGACGAAGAAGGTCAAAGAGGCATAATCATCAACACCGCAAGCATCGCAGCTTACGAGGGACAGGTGAGAGTAAGCCCCATTTTGCCATGTTTTTCGTCTAGAGTGTGTGCTGGCCGAGCTGTTGTAGTGCAGAGTGCACTACGCTTTTGAAGCATCGTTTCATGTCGACATCCTCTCGTAAAGGTACTTTTAGCGCACCCCCGACAACGATGAATCTCATGTCTTGTGCAGGTGGGACAGGCAGCTTATGCCGCGTCAAAGGGTGCCATCGTTTCCATGACGCTCCCATGTGCTCGAGACCTTGCCGCCTCTGGGATTCGAGTGTGTGCCATCGCACCAGGTAAGGACCTTCCTTGGGTGTGACGCGCCCGCCCGCAGTGTAAACGTGTGCGTCGCTCGTGGTTCTCGACGAGGATGTCGAGTATCGGGCTAAGAGTTGTTACGAATACGTATGGGACACCGGAGTATCGATTGTTCACAGGTAGTTAACGTAGCCTTTGGCATATTGGTTCATCTGTACCTCTGTGGCCTCACTAATGTTGCAAGCAATGGCAGCACATTAGCTGACTTGTTCAGTGAACGAATGTTGGCTTGCTGTCAAACGCGTTAGAAACAGCAATGCTTGTTTTCCCGCACAGACAGGTGTGGTCGATGTTTTTTTAAGCGCCCCCCATCCCTCCCCTGCTGTTCATAGGGCTGTTCATGACACCTCTTCTCGAGGGGCTTCCGGACCTCGTACGGACCCAGCTTGCGTCTACCGTGCCCAATCCACCGCGGTTGGGCCGGGCAGAAGAATTCGCACATCTCGTGGGGAGCATTATCGACAACAAAATGCTGAACGGCGAGGTCATTAGACTGGACGGAGCGCTGCGGATGGGACCATGAGGCGTCGGCTGACCATTCCATGAAACACATCTCGTCACTTTACGAGCAAAGCATCAGGCTTCGTTTGCAAAGTCGGGGGTTGCGGTGTCCAAGGACATCACGGCAGACTCGGGGGGTGGTTGAGAAGCGCCCACGTGTAAATGATCGTCGGATGTTATACCCATTACTCGCTGTATTATTCGTTTCATTGCGCTTGATTTCGGTGTTCATGTACGCTCTCTCGTCTGTGAGGTCAGCGTGTAAGACTCGTGTTGTTTGTTTTTGCGTGGCCCCGTTCTGGCTTAGACAGCTGCGACTGAGAGGAGCCAAAAGGTGCGTCTCGAGCGTTTTGAAGAGCAGGGGGCCCGAGACGCACAACTATCGTGGCTTCTATCCATACGCGTGATGTTTTGAGAGCTTTTGGTTTTGGCTTGTTTGAAACCCAGGGGCCTTGTGATCATTGTTGAGCGTGGATACCTTCTTGTGCTTTCGTCCGTATCGGTATCCTGCGTCTGCCGCATCCGTCGTACGTTCCGCGAGAAACGACTAAATGGATCCTTGTTCTGTTCTCGGACGACGGCCGGCAGCAAATAGTGCAAACCGTGTGAAAGAACATACAGGAGTGGTGCATCGTCATGTTGATCGAGGTGGGTGTGCAGACTTCAAAGTAAGCAGGGACGGAATTCCTAGAAGACACGCTTGGTGCAGGTACAACGGGATGATGCCTTGGTTTTGCAGGTGCTTAGATGTTGCTGTGGTGTATCATGCGATCAAATGTATTTAGTAGAATCTACAAGAGGAATAGTGTGTGCTTTGTTCGAGTTTTCACTCAACCCCTGCAAGCGCAGCGGCTATCTTTTTGAGCCAAATAGTGTTGGCATTTCCGAGGGAGGCATCGTGCGTCAACCGCGCGAACCACCTGCATGCTTTTGTTCCGAGGGACGGGGGATTTCGTTGCGTTGGGAATATATCTTTCATTTTGCAGGCGTGTTGAAGAAACAAGAGAAAAGAAGACTGATGGACGAAGTTATTGAGTCAAAATCTGCACAGGTCGAACGACAAGCGCAAGAGCAGCAGATCGCAACACCGTTCTCTTTTTGCCGTGGCCACGGTTCTAAGATTAATTTAGGGGTGTGAAAACCAGCGTGAGTTATGAGCGGCATTGTTGTCTAGCTGGACACCCCTTGAAAGGCGAATAATTGTGTGAGGCAAATCTAAAACATAATAGGGGTCAACACTGCTGTTGCTCCGATCGTATGTATACCTACGGCGGGTGTTGTGGGGTGCGCACGTAGTAAGAGTTTGTTTTGTTTCACGAGCGCAATGCCGTACGTGTTGAGGGGTGTATAGAGGGTGAAAACCTTCCTCAGGATCATTGCTGTGGAACATGGCCTCTCACATGCGCCAGTGACTACTGTCGGCAAGGGATGACTGAAGAGAGGTGTGATGCTGGGGGTGTCGAAATCATACTGTCGGTTCACACACACACCTTCGTTTTGGCCTTTGGGCACATTGCGACCGTCGAATAGCTCTCCTCTGCCTCTAGGAGCTTCGATTTACACGGTAAACAACATGCGCTAATCAAGGGAAGCCGATTGTCACACCCGCAAATCCCTTCCTACAATACACTGAAGAGAACAAAAAAAAATGGCACATTCAACACATGCTGTTTCGGTTGATGGTCCCTCTGACGTCATAACACGTCATCTAAAAAGTCAAATGTGGGACTCTCAGCGACGATGACACGTACTCCCTTCGTATTTACAAGAAAGGCCACACTTCGCCTCGCATAAACCAGCCGACCCATGATCCTACGCGCGTTGTTCGAGCGAAAGGGGGTCGAGTTCCCAAAGGCTATGCGCTCATTCATAGCTTAATTTGTCTTGGAACACTTGGTGGCCACCAGATCACATCCACACCAACGCAGAGTTCACACAAAAAAAACGGTGCAAGAATCCAACAACCAGTATCATAGCATTTCCTTCGAGAAGCTGGCAAGCATTCGAAGGGGCAGTAGCAAAATCAGCATCACTGGCTGAACGGGCACCCATGCGTAGAAAGACACCGCAAGGTCGAATACAAGGTCCCACCCTTATTGCGCCCGGCAAACTGCAGACATCTAAAATAAACCGAGACCGACAAAAGTTGGTGCAGAATAAATACAAATCGATTCTCGACGCGCCTGCTCTCGCGCAATCTGGGACTTGCTGTGCAGAGTTTGCCTCGCAGTCATTGCTTTTCGAGCCCTTACGCACAACTCATCTCCGAACATATGACATGCACAACAACGTAGCATCTTTTTACCCACAAAGAAGGGATAACGCGCACGCTTCGAGGCCAAATCAGTAACGCTCGCAGTCAGCCGTCGAGTACTGCGTGCACTTCGAATCGCTGACGTCTGTCTCCACGTACTGTAGCATACACGCGTCCACCAGGTTGTGGATATTGCAGTAGTTGACCGAGTTGTCAAGGACAGCGTACCACGTTTGACTGCAAGGACACAAGAGGCAAGGGCGGGTTGGGGCGGGTTCGTTTCACAACATGGTTCATCACTGGAGGTAAGGAGGTGGGAGGTACTAGAGACGGAGGCATCCCAAAACTCGCAGTGTCGTCGACACGCGTGACTGTAACGCACCTGGTAGAGAAGGCCTTTGCCTCGCACGAGCCTCCCTGCAAAACAAGTAACGAGCCGAACGCGTGGGTTTGGGACGGGGTGGGATGTTGTTGCTCATTGGCAGTCCAGCATCATCGATAACGAGGTCGCGGTGTTCTGGTAGAAGAGATAACCTTGCGCTCACGAAACCTACTCAGTCTTCAAACGATGGCGAGAACTCAAATGTCATCATCGTGCGAGCAGGAACACGGATTTGTTTGCGCTCTTGCCCCTGCCAAGGCAAACAAGCGGTGACATTGCTCGTGTACACTTGCGGGGCGGCGAAACTCCTTTCCCGATTCACCACCAGCGAAGTTCATCGCAACACGACCATGATTACTCATTGCACACCCTGGAAATGACGCGGCATGTGTTTATCCTTCTTGACTGCCTCGGGGCAATAGGGCCCCCCAGAATCAAAACGTGCCAAGCGAAAATCCCACGTGGTCCACACCTTGTCAGTAAGGGTGAACGTCATATCGTCCTTGTAATGTTTCACGCTGGTCTCGTGGACAAGCTTGACATTTCCGTCAGCTACATCTTCCACCGTATAGCCGCACCTGGAACAGAACAGAACGAACGAAAGCGTGAGTTGGCACCGAAAATCGCTGGTGATCATCAGAAAACCGACCTTGTGACCTTTTGTACGGTCTTCTGCTCGTCGAGCTCCGACACGTAATCTAAGAACGGGAGCGAGGTGTGAGACAGTGAGGCTCACTTGTTACCCCCGCCGCAGTTCTCAAAGCCCATCATGTCCTTTGCAGACGAAACGATGGCCTCGGTCACCTCAGAGCAGCTGTTCTTGGGGAAGGCGATCGTCATCTGCATATACATCGCCGATGAACAAGGTAGAACCACCAATAAAAACGAGTGAAACGAGACGACGAGGGGTCCGCATGCACCAAGCAAATGCTTATCTCGTCATCCCTGAGCCCACAGTGCGCGCAAGAGAGGAGGCACGTTTACCTTGCAGCTGGCGTGAAGCGGACCCCCCAACCCCAACC